GTATGCGAGACCCTGGAGGAGAGCGGCGACGTGGAGCGCCTGGGCCGCTTCCTCTGGTCGCTGCCCGTGGCCCCTGCGGCCTGCGAGGCGCTCAACAAGAATGAGTCGGTGCTGCGAGCGCGAGCCATCGTGGCCTTTCACGGCGGCAACTACCGCGAGCTCTACCACATCCTGGAAAACCACAAGTTCACCAAGGAGTCGCACGCCAAGCTGCAGGCGCTGTGGCTCGAAGCCCATTACCAGGAGGCCGAGAAGGTGCGTGGACGGCCGCTGGGGCCGGTGGACAAGTACCGCGTGAGGAAGAAGTTCCCACTGCCGCGCACCATTTGGGACGGCGAACAGAAGACGCACTGCTTCAAGGAGCGAACGCGGCACCTGCTACGCGAGTGGTACCTGCAGGACCCGTACCCCAACCCCAGCAAAAAGCGCGAGCTCGCCCAGGCCACGGGACTGACCCCTACGCAGGTGGGCAACTGGTTCAAAAACCGCCGACAAAGGGACCGGGCAGCTGCTGCCAAGAACAGGTCAGTACCGAGGGCCTCCTCTCCCTGCGCTCACCCGGGCGGGGCGGGCGAGGGCACCCTGGGCGCCTCGCCTTGGGCCCGCCGACCGGGACTCGGCAGTGAGCGGGGAGCGCGCTCCCGGGTTGTGAGCGGGTGCTCTGGGATCCGGGCAGTGCCTCCCCGGCTCTGGGTGCTCCACCCTCGCTCTGAGGGCCTGGGGATCGACCCAGCGGCTGGTTCCAGTCACCAAAGCAAGGCTCATTGGGAACGGGAAAGAAATCAAATTGAAATCCCAGGAACAATGAGGGACCTCAAGGCCCAAAGCTAATTCTTGTTAGCCTTGGCCCAGGCTCTTACTATTAAGTGAAGCCTGGCTTATTGGCAATGTGGGAGTTTTTTGGCATTTTTAAAGCCCAGATCCATCCTTCTCTGACGCTATCAAAACAGTTTTCGATGAACCTCTGTTTCTAAGAAGTGGAAGTGGAGTTCTTCTCTTCCCATGCATGGGCAGTCTGGTCTCAAACGGCAAGTTAGTCGGCTATGGCTTTTTATTTTCCAGTGTGTGGATCTCAATTAGTCAAACATTTTACTCAAAAACCCAGCCTCTTCCCCCAGGCCCGAATACTCCTGGCAACACCCAGGCAGCCCTTTTTGCCCTTAGCTTTGGGCCCACCAGGCCTTGGAGGCACAAACCCACCCTGGGAAGGGGATCCCGGTCCCAGAGCCTACACTGACCTTTTCACCCACACTTCATTTATCCTGATAGGACTGTAAATCTCCCAAAGGGGGCTAACAACTGGGAATGATCCTGCGAGCCCAGCATCCCAAAGACTGGGGAGACTAGGAGCCCAGAAAGGACTCTGAAGAAGGGTGGGGAAACTGCAGGGCTGTGACAGAGGCGGCTGAGGACCCCTGCCAGACCCCTTGTTGCCTCACCTTACTCGCTGTAACAGCGATGGTCTGAGGGAGAGCGGTTGCCCGCTGGGCTTAAGGGATGCGGACCAGGGGGCAGCAGGAAGTATGTTTCGAGTGTTCCTTTCCTTCCCCGTAGACTCCAGCAGCAAGTCCTGTCTCAGGGCTCCGGGCGGGTGCTAAGAGCAGAGGAAGAGGGCACCACCGAGGTGCAGGGAGCCACAGCCAGCCCAGCCGCCAGTCTATCCAGCAAGGCAGCCACTTCAGCCATCTCCATCACGTCAAGCGACAGTGAGTGTGACATCTGAGCTGCCCACACAACAGGCTCAGAAACAGAATCCAGTGTATAAAAAGACACAAACAAAATGAAGGAGGGAGGGAAGAGGAGAGACCGACCAAACAAACCCAGTGCTTTCGAAGCCAGGTGGCCAGGGACTCCGAATGAGAGGCCTGCGAGCTCAGGTTGCCATGTCTGCCTCATGGCCTGCCAGCTCCACTTGCACCCTCCAGCCTCTATTACAAGGGCCCACAGTGAGGCCCGACACAGCGCTACGTTCTCTTTGCTTTGCTTTTTCCCAAGGATAGTGCTGCAAAGATGCCTCGGGAACTGAACTGCACACTGAGTGCCTGCCCTGAATCTCCTGTGGGTATTTCATGTCGAAAGGACGCTGTTCTATATGTATAACTTTTGCTTTAAAGTTTTTTTTTAAAAAACATATATATGCTGTTTATTTACTTATTTAAGAGACTGCTGTGGTAGGTTTCTCTGTATCTTGGAAACTTACTGTTTCTAAAGGCGCAGGGTGGAGCCGAGGGGTTCTGTGTGAAGTCAAACAATAAAAATCTGGTGAATCAACCTTTCCTAATTGAGGGAACTACTCTCAGATTCCTACCCAAAAAATCCTTCTTTACACCAGGAAGGCAAAAACTCTAGCACAAATGGCATCTTTTGCCTTTTCTGATGTCTCCTGGTATATTTTATGGTAAGTCCATAACCACCTTCCAAGTCAAATTGAGTGTATGCATGTATGTATATATGTATGTATGTACATGTGTATGATATACTTAAACCTACAAATTGGCAATGTGATCATCCCCATAAGTCAACTCTCCACATCCTCAGCAAAGGTAGCTATGGCTTATCCACCTGAAACACTTTTATTAAGTGTCAACGGCTTTCAAGAACAATTTAGAAAGCTAAGTTCTAGGATTTAGTAGTGAATCCTATTTTATAAAAATGTCAGACTATTCTGAAATAGCCTCTGCAATGAGGAAAGACTTTCCATCTCCTTTGAGGCCCCCTCCCATGCAAAAGCAGCAGGTACCCAGGATCATGCTAGAGTGAGCATATACTACATTTAGGATTAATTAAAATTAGACACAAGAAGATAGGAGAGGTTGTAATAACTAGACTAGCATCTTCTTGCTGCAGAAGGTTTTAATCAAATGCATTATTTTCAACAAAAGGAAAATACTGAGATATGGGGGAAGAATGTAATCCTGTCACATACTGAGGGGGAAATAGAAAGTTGCAGAGAAATGACTGGTACTTTAAAAATCTGATTTCTGTATTAAATATGAAAGAAATCATCCAGAGCCTCATTGTCCTGTAATGGCTTCAATTAAAAATAGCAAATATTCATAGTATTTAATTTGCCCTCCCAAAGTGTGCAGGCACATGCAGGCACAGAGACACACCCCCCCCCCAAAAAAGAAAGAAAAGCAGTTCCTGCACTAAAAAAATAAATGCTATCCAGAGAGTCTCTAAGCTTTTTTGTTTTCCCCCCTAGTGAAAAGGGTAGCATATTATAAAATTTGAGATTGATCTTTAAGTAACTTGAGCTGAACTTCCCTCCTCAAGCTCCCCTCCCCATTGGACTCCTTTCAGTTTGCCTTTCTGTCAACAGATGCTCTTTGGTTCAGAAGCCTGCTAACTTACTTGGATAGATGTGCCAATGTGCAAACCAAACAAAAATAAGTGAAGTCAGGCAGGACAAAAGGCAGTCAAATGGCAAGAAATATGGGGAAGCCCGTGACATAAATAAAGGTTGATTTTTGGTTTCTAAATTGCTTAAACAGATTTGGCCTCAGTGGGGCTTAATAATAAATGGTTGTCATTGTAGAAAGTGGCACTTATCCAGAGAACTGTTGACAATCAAACCTTTCTTTCTTGCACAAGCGCTCTAGGTGGAAGGAGTAGGGGCGTCTTTGTGATCAAGCCCATGCTCTTCCAAAAAGCAAGCAAATATCCTACTGTGAGTCCTGAAAGGCTAGGATGGTAAAGCTTCCTCAAGACTCTATTTAGTTTCCTAGAGTCCCTGGCAGTTCCTAGAATGCCAAGGAGTGGGGCTGGGTCTCCAGAAGAGGCAAAGGAGGCACCTGAAATTTAAGAAGGCATTCACTCTCAAGGTCAAGCAAATGCAGCCAGTGCAAGGCATCCAGGATGGAGTGCCTCCTTAAATTTTGCACTCTTAAGTGCCTCCCTTGCCTCATTCTAGTCCTCAATCTGCCAGAGAGTACCGCACTTCCCAATGAAAAATCAAGGGGTTTCCAGCCTTGCTCCCCAGTCTCACTCCATCCTAATCATGGAGCTGTCGAGAACCAGCATTTGAAGGAGATGGTTAGCAAATTTCATCTCTTCAGTTGATGCTTCCAGATCAGATCAGGAGGGAAGGAAAGGACTAATGAGTGGACTGATGTAAAGGAATTTGGAATTCTGAAATCCCACCCCACTCACCAGTTCAAATGATGCTTAAAAAAGCAAAAGGAAATGTCCACTCTGCATTCTCAAAAAAAAAAAGGGGGGGGGATAGTACTGCTACAATCTAAGCTTTTTCTTTACAAATAACTTCTAAATAACAACTGCTCAGGGGGGAAAAAAAAAAAAAAAAAGGTCAAACAGTGATGGAGGATTTTTCTTCCTGCTTTGGTGAAAGCTTTTAAAGTATATCTTTCTTTACAGTACATCTCATTTACTTAAAGTAACATGCTAAGGATTACGTTATAAAGTAGCTCTTCTGTTTCACCAACCTGGAGATTTATCTAATTCCACTTTAGACTCTTAAGAGGTGGCCTGTTATTTAAGAGATTTTTTACCAGTGGCACCTAACTGCTTTTGTGAAGAATCCAGTCCTTCATGATCCCATGTTGGAAGCTGGTCCAAATCTTCCCATGGACGGGTATTGTAAAAGTTTCATTTTCTTTAAAAAATTGTTTTCCATATTAGTTTTATCCTAGCCTAGAAAGGTGCTTTCTTTTGTTGTTGGGTTTTTTGTTTGTTTTAATTTCAGGTAGTAGCAATGTGGAAGTTTTCTGAATTTGGAGAAATCTCCGTATGATGGGCTTCCTTCCTTTCTTGAAACTCCTTTCCTGTAACAATTGCAAAAAAAACACACCCAGTTACTCCAGCAAAGTGGAAAGCAGCTGCATTTTTATCTTTCAACAGACCTGACCGGTCTGAGGGTTATACGCTCAGCCCTCACTCAGGCTGCTTCACGGGCAGTAAATGTTTCAACCACCGGCCAGTTCCGCCAGAAGCGCGAAGGCTCCAGCTCGCCGAAGGCCGCGGCTCGGCTCCTCCACCTGAATGGCCCCTCCGCTCCACCCGCCGCGCTCGCTCCCCCGCCGCGGCTCTCCGCGTCCCCAACTTGTTTATAAAAACCTGGGAGGAAGGGAGGGGGTGAGAGGCTGGGGTGGGGGAGGACATGCTCTTTGTTTACATTAAACAAATGACAGGCAAAGAGCTCAAGCAAAATCTTCCTTGACCTCGTTCTCTCGCCCTAATTTTAACAAAAAGGGAAAAAATATTGTATCTAAAGACAACGCGAATGGGGCGGGAGGAGCAGAGCAGCAGCTTTTCGCTCTATTCAGCCGGGACTCGGGTGCGCGGACGATTTCCGCTCCTATTGTGAGGCGGGGCCGCGGGGCGGCGGTGAATGGGAGGTCTGCCGGCGGCCCGCGGGGCTGTCAGGCGGCTCAGCGTAATCAGGGCTAATGACAGTGGCCCGGCGCTCCCCGGGACAATGCGCGGGGCCGCGGGGTTTTGTCGGCCTGAATGGCTAATAGGTTTGCCCGGGGGCTGCGAGGGGGGCGGTGTCGCGGAGGAGGGGGCGGCGGCCGGGAGAGAAGGGGTCATTGTCCGCGCGC